GAATGATCGGACCGAATATCACACAGCCAAATGCTAGAAAGTATAGAAAAAATCAAAACCAAAACCAAAGCCAATGCCAACACCAATTGCAGCCCGAACTAAACAAGCTTCAAGCTGCAGATGAATTTAGTGTTGTGAGTGTGTTATAAATAATGCAATATCACATCATTTTATTATTGGTAATATTTCATAGAATTGCCTGCGTCCGGTGAGCGCGCCAGAGACTTGAGCACACGCAAGTAGTCTTACACATTCCTTGCATTTGTACTTGCAAACAGCAACGGCAGCCTAAGTAGTAGCAGCACCAATGCAAAGAATATTCTTCTTCAGTCCTCATCTAACTATTTATCTCATTTTGTCCGCACTGCAATCGCATTTGTGCCGAGATGCTTCGTTTTCCGTTTGTCAATTGCAACTATTCTGCCTTTTTTTTGCAACGTTTCCTTCATTCTGATTTCGAATTTATCTACACTTGCTATTTTAGCGGTGGCATAGTCTGCAACAAGAGATGCATAGTTTTCCTGCGCGTTTTGTCCAGATTTTATGCAACGCAAATAAACCTGAATTGACGTCCACTTTTTCATTCGATTCAGTCGCGTTAAGGGATTGAAGAAAAAAAGAACACATTTCGCTTATTCCTCTATTGAAACAGCTTGAAAAAGTTTTTGAGCAATTTTTCGTATTCCTCTTCGGTAAACATTGAATTGCGTTGCATTAGCTGTCGTTAGTGCGCGAGGATTGTACTGTTGCTCTCGGGCTGTACAATTAGAATGGAGCTGATTCGGATCGATTAAGTGAGCAACTGTACTTTTTTACATCATCCCAACTTCAAAACGGGTTTGCAATGGAAAGAGAGAGAGAGAGATGGAGCGCGCAGAGAATAAAAATTGTTTTGCACCAAATGGCGATTTGGATAGATTAGGCGAAAAATGCCAAGCAAATGCATCCATTTCGATGAAGTCTTTTTTTTGTATTTCTTTTCTGCGTTTTCTTTTTCTTTTTCATCCTAATAATTAATTGGAAAAGCAATTTAAGCACATTGAAATCTGTTTGAAACGGAAAACATCCACATAATATTTATTAATGTGTTTAATGCTGAAAAGTGAGTATTTTCTGTGTTCAAGCCTCAGCTTTGTTCAATATAGTTTTATTTTCATGGAAAAAGTGCAACTTGTTCGCATATACAATGTATATTATACATACGTATACATATATTTTTATCCAATTTTTTTTTCATTCTCTCCATTCTTTTCTGTTCTTGTGTTCGCCTCTTGCTGCAATCAAATATTTCTTCTATGTCTCAAATATACCATTTCAACGACAAGTTTTTCTTTTGCCCGATGATGTTGTTGTTGCCCGTTGTTGCCCGTTGCTGCAATTCAATGTGCGAAAGCAATTTCTGGCTGTGAGTTGTTACAGCATTAACAGCTTCAAGCTAGATTCATGGCACAAAATTAAAGATAGGAATATGAATAAATAGAGAGAAGAGGAGGAAAAAAAACTGTACAGATTTTGCGCTACCATAGAATCTCTTTTTATAGTCTTAGTGATGCGAAAGGTATTCATGCAACTGCCTGAAATGGCGGAATGGCCTCTCGCGCTCTCTCTCTATCTCTTTCTCTGCATCTCCATCGTGAGGCGTTTTTGAAACCCAGAGTGAGGTTTCACTGTGTATCAAAAAGAAATATACGTTGTTTTCTTTCCATGCATAAGAACATCATTATGATTTTGGGCTGGGAGAAGACGAAGAAAAACAACACACATACCGCAAATGGGGAATTACACCTTTTGTGAAAGCGCACCAAACATCCAATAGAAATATACCTCTATATATATGCTCCTTTGGTGCTTGCTTAGAAAAGTTGATGGCAAATTAAATAGATAATTGTTGTATGTTTCGAGTTTGTTGCTGCCGTTGTGATTTCGCGTCATTGCGATGCATCGCAACCGACACATACACAATAAAATGGCAATACACGTAGATAAAAAACCGTGTCTATTCGTTTGGAGTGCAACTTTGAGGACATTGACATTTCAAGATTTCAACTGTGGCTGCTGAATCTATGGCTTGACTTGGCATTTTTTTATATTCTATTTTCTTTTCTTTTCGCTTTGCCGTTGCTGCTGCAGCAGCTACTACTTTTTTCGTTCTTGCTGCATGGAGACATGAACCCAGTGATTTCTGAAATAAGAAAGAAAGAAGAAAAAAAACCAACAACGAAGAATGTAACATTTGCTCTCTTGCATTTGCACAAACAGACAAAAAAAATCCAGTTTTGCCTCATTTTTCTATTGAAAATCTGCAAATGGGTACGAGTGCGTGGTGTCGGCTATTTCAGTTTGCTAGTACAACCGAGTCGGTGTAGAGTTTTTTTTTGATGATGGTGATGATGTTGTTGTTGTATATTTCATGGCACGGTCTCCGTCTTTCTATGTGCACCAAACTATGCAATTGCCACCATTTTCTTAAAATAATGATTGCTTTTGGATTCGATTCGTGCTTGTTTGTACGACGCGCTTTTCTACGGAATGACTGTTTAAAGGCATCGGATAGTTTTTTAATTGCGTATGCGCGCAGACACTCGATCCTTCACTAAGCCGACTATTTTGATATTTAGTTGATATAGATTTTCTCGTTAACTTTTTATGTTCTCTACCACAAAAGAAGCAGAAGGAAGACTTTCATTTGAGTTTTTTTGTTGTTGCTTTTTCTCTTTTGTTTTATACCTTCATTCATATCATGGCGACAAATGGCAATCGATATAATCGCTGTCCGCAATACCGTTCATACATTATGTATAGAGTGACTAATTAAAACTGCAAAGAAAATTTTCATTCAATGAAACGTTTGAATATTCTTATATTTTTTCCCCGTTTCTCTTGACTAATGTCTTTGGTACATAGATAACTGAAGCGTTTTATTCGATCGATGATGAAAAATTATAATGAAAAAAAAAACGACCACCACAACATCCTCACCGACCGATTTAATTCGCAATCGCTCGGCATTTATAATTAAAACGGCCGCACTTTGGCCACATAAGCCGTTTCGATGTTCGTTTAATTAAATAGTTGTTATTGGCCGATGTCGGCCAATTACTTCCTCACCTCCTAAGTGTTAGAGTGAAGAATGACGATAACAAAAAATTGATCACATAATTATATAAAACATTTTCTTCTGTTGCTGAACAACTCATCAATTTCCGCTCAAGTTTGTCCTTATGCTTAACTTTGAAGATATCCTGATGATGAACACAAATGACAAACACACGACCAATGCAGCAAAAAAATCGAAGAAGAAGAAGAAGAACAACGTGCATATTCATAAGCTGGAACAATTCCCTCGTTGATGCAGTATATACAATTTGCTTTTTGTTGTAATTAAACTTATTTACTTGTGGCTTGATTGTAGAATAGCATGATTTTCATGCAACGAGCACCTGACCTTCAACTTCGCTGAACGTTTGTGCCTCGAACAGTGAAAAACTTGTAAATAAAACACTATACGGATGATATGCAATGAATATTCACACGTTCCCGACGCTGCCGCCGATGTTGTTGATGATGATGTGTTTGTCTGTAAACGAAGTGGACACAGCGCAATGGCGATACCTAAGCCCTACGGTGGTGCCGCTGCTATGGAAAAACAAAATTATAATGCACATGCACGTATCTCGATGGATGGATGGAGGAGAAAAAAACCCTTCTGAATGGCGTCGAAAAAGGATAGGCATGCTGCAACTGGATGGAAACCATACATACACGAGGTATGCATACAATGAAACAGAAAGTGAAACTCGAGCTCAAATTCAGTGGTTTTTTTTCTCTCTTTTCTTCATTTATTCCATGTTTATTTTTAGCCCGAACGAAAAGATGCACGTCTGTCAATCGGTTGGCATATTTTACAATAAATAATCAATTTTTTATCGATATCGTTTTATTCCATGGCGCTGGTACAAATAACGAACATAAATCGCTTTGTTTTGCCTACTGCTTCAACAGTATTGAATGTAAATGCTGTGAATTTTATTCCATTTTAAATTATCTTGAAGAGAAAAAAATCTGAAATTTATCGCAATTTCATTAGCGTGTGGGAAAAGATAATAATGAACGAGTTGACAAGGTGAAACATATCAAATGCAGCGATAGACTGTCATCGAAATTATGACGGTATTCGGAATTATGTTTATCGTTTGACAGAAGAAGAAAAACTACTGTTCTGATGTTCGAATCGAATAATTCGATCGAAAATCATCATGATTGTTGCCAAAAAGTAGTCAAATTATACTTCAAAATTCTGCGATGAGAGATTCTCTTCTTGTTGTTGATTTGGCATAAGCCGTGATGATTTTTAGATACATCAAATCTTTCAAACGATGAAGCAAATGACTACTGTCAAAAAATAACTGAATACAGTCGCATTTTATACGAAAACGCGAAAATTCGAGAGCTAGCGAACTTCAAGCACTTCGACGTATTTGGAGAAACAAACAATCATTTGAAGCTTCAAACTATTAGCATTTGAATTTGGCTCTCATTGATACATTTGGTGATGAAGACACAACAAATAAATTGGAACTAACGTGTTCTTGATATTCTAAAAATACGACATGGTTCAGAAATGATGATTACACAATACAGATGCTACAGACTGAACTTCTAGTTGAAAGGGCTTAGTTTTTTCACGAAAATTCGATTTTTTTCATTCCATTCACGTGATGTCAACTAGACAATTACTTTTATTTCTTCATCTTTTGCTCAAACGATTTTTTTTTGAATATTTTGTCATGTATTCAGAGCAGTCGTTCAGAGAGCACGTTATCCTAATCATTTTAAGCATATTGAAGGACAGCGGACAAGCACTTGTGAATAGAAAAACAAATGAGATCTGAAAAAAATCAAAACGATGAAGAGTCGTGGCCTTTGATTTGATACAAATTGAACAAATAATGTCATTTGTAGTCATTTTTTTATATTGAAAAGATTTAAAAAAAGAGGTGGCCACTCAGAAAGCACCTTATCCGTGGCCCACTGAGTTAGCAGGTTAGCGATCATCGACGATTGTGGGCTCTGATACACAGAGTGTATCAAATAACCAACACGAATCTCCCTCACGCTTACAGATAAAGCACCACAGCTCGTCATCGTGGTTGCCGTTCCACTCTGGTTTTAGCCAAAGTTGGTATAAGATATACTACAGAAATGATCCTGTGAAGTATAGTCTTGCTGGCGGCTAATTTTTCTCAGACACTTATGTTCTACAGTCATACGTTGCGTCAGTGAATTATAAAACTAATCGAAATGAAAAAAAAACGAATTTTGAACAGCGGCTCGCACACAGTACAGTGTAGTAACTACTTCGTGTTGTTCTATTGAGATTATAAACTGCGAGACTTATCGTCATCTTAGAACATTAAATTACGTATTCAATCTTTCTTAATGATTAGCTAGCGAGTGAGTGAAACAAGAGTCCAGAGAAACATACTATATGTCCATAACATAATTTCATTTTGGACGACAATTTATTGTACTTTATACTAAATTCTAAATGCATGTTTCTTTCATTGGATTTCATCGTATCTCATTCCGCTTTTAAATGTCGTTTTTCATCTATTTTATTCAATATTTCAGGCGCATTTTTTTTATCGTTGAACGCTTTGTACGCGACGTATTCACGTATTTCATTCAAACGAGACTTATCCAAACAAAAAGTCAAACATACTATTGAGTGAGCGGCAGACACTATGTGTAAAATCGTAAATGCACCGCGTGGAAGTATTGAATGTGTATATAGTATATCATGGCAAGACAGTGAGTTCTTATGAGAATCGGCCCGAAAAAAGAGACCGTGAATAGTATTCACTGAATGCATACACGAAAATTGGGGCCAATGCTGTGGCAATCAACACACAAAACCAAACGAAAGAAAAGAAAAGAAAAAATAAATGCGATGATGAAGCCAGAAAAAGGTAAAAGAACCGATTCGATTGCACCGTTTCCGTGCATCACACACACACACACGCTGTGCGTTCACTTGGCTTGATATATACGAGAACGCACATAAGAAGAAGAAGAAAAAAGAAAAAGACTAGAGTCGAATGTTTCGTGGCAAAAGCAAACGGCAAGCGTAAAATGAGAATTTTAAGCTGCAGCCAAAGCAAAGAACGGAAAATCAAAGTTAGATTTTTCTCTCTCTTCCTCTCCCTCTCTCTCTCTCTCTCTTTTCATTTTATGACTTTTGTTTTGCGAAACGATCAAGTCAAAACATAACCGGCCATAAAATATACACGGCACACGGCACACGGAACCGAGTATTTTAGCTGAATGAGAGATGGCAAACTGAAAATTGTATAATATTTGAAGTTTTGTTCCAAGTCATTCGACATAGTTGCCTTTTTTCCATCGGTGTTCTGTCTCCGTTTTTTTTCTCGTTCGGTTCGTTGTCGTTGCCCGTTCTTTATATTATTATTATTTTCATGAACATTTTGCCATTATTTATGTAGTGAGGTAAAGCCACAAATAAAATACCACGAGCGTTTATTACTCTCTTGCCATCGATTGAAAGAAACGTGAAGCGAATCACGCGTTGCCATATTGGCAGGCAAGCCGGCGCAAATTTTCGGTTTGCAAGATCCGAATCGGAGTATGGAATATTTTGTAATTTTTCATTTGAAAATAATCACTTCTATTCGTTCGATTCGGTGCGAACGAAAGCGGAGGATAGAAGAAAAAAAACGAGGAAGAATTGCCCTACTATTTCATCGATTCAATTTACAATTCGATTATACGACATGAAACTCCAACGAATCAATTTGGTATATCATATCGTAGTTGCGCGCCTAGTCTCTTTTTTTCCATTCTTCTTCTTCTTCTTGTGGTGTGTGCTTGAAAATTCTCTTGAACTTGTTTATTTAACGATAATCGTTTTCATAAAGCGATCAAAATACATGTAAACATGTTTTATTTTTCCTCTTGTCGTTTCTGTTCCTTTCAAGTATCTTTGGCATGCTCTACATAAGCGTTCGGCCATTGTATCACCGATACCTAGAATCCGAGTGCACGTAAATTTAGAACGAAAAAGGGAAGAGGAAAAAAATGAACAGAAACTTTTGAAGAGAAGAAGAAAAAAAAACAACAACGCTGAGATACTTAGAGTATTTGAAATACTCTGGTGTACCCGACGAATGTTGCATGATTAACGACGACGGTACAGTGTGTGCTGGGTGTGGGACGTAGTCTTTTCTATTCGGCCAAATGTGTTTGCTCGTTGCACATTTGGTTGCATGGATGGTCGAGGCTCGTCTGTATCATCGCGAAGAAAGCTAAATGCCGATATAAACGGACAGAAAAAAAAACTGCATTTTATACAAATATGAAAACGTTGCAGCGCTTTGGCATGCAAGTGAATAAATAATATTGTATCCACACACACACACACACACAAATACACGGACAACAACGGCAGCAAGCAAGAGAAGAAAAATGCAAATGTACAGCAACCACTATGCCATTGCCTATATATTTTGGCGTTGTCGTTTTAGATATCTTATATTGTCGTTGTTGCTCTCTCTCTTTTTTTTGCCTCATTCCCCAATTCATTTGTCCATAACGTAGAGAATGAGCGACTCCAAGCAACGCAATCCATTCCATACCAATGCTATGTATTCGTGGCATTTGTTATTGAGTTTAATTTTGGTCGCGATGCATCGAAAGAGTTGAACATCACATAGAAAACCATCAAGTCAACGGAAAACAAGTTAGCACACGAGAAAAAAAGAAGAACAGAGAGACAACATCAACAGCGACGACGAAGATGATGATAGAGAAAGAAGAATGAAAAGGAGCAAAGACGAAAAGTGCATTAGGTTTTAGATGGCATTTATTATGAATTTATGTGCGTGAATCTGAATGACAGAGATAAAATGAACGAACGAAAGAATGAACAGATCGGATGAACGTGGAGCGAGCGAGTGCACAACAACAGAGAGAAGCCAAAAGAACAACAATAAACAACGGAACGATGTGAACACGTCTACGAACACAGGAAAGAGCCAAATTATTTTTCTGCAGTCAGTTTTTTTTCTGTTCTACAGTCAACTCTATGTTTTGTTTTATATCAATAAACGCGAAACATATAATTATTCTTCTTCAATCGTCGATGCGTACGCTTGTGTTTGTGTGTAAGTGCTTGTGTGAGTGGTTGTGCGGTGTAGAGCGTGGAGAGCGTGTGCATTGTGCATCGCGGTAAGAACGCATGATTATGCAAATGCTGCATTTAGAACGGGCGAATATTTAGAAAAATTTATTCTGAGGAAAACCAAAATGGAAATGAACACGAAAAAAAAGAATTGTTAAGCATCGGGCCTATGCTATTAAGACGCACGCACAGGCACATACACACACACACACACGTATTACATACGTACACATTTGAAATACGCGCGCGATAGAGGCGAAGAAGCGGACAAGTTAATTGGATCGAAATGCAATGTGAATGCGATGCGTCGAGACAACCAGCACGTTCAAACACAAACACACTGCATGTACAATTTTATACATGAATTCCGTCAGCCGTAACAATATATGCAATGTTGTGCTGGTTCAGTGTATCTTGACGCGCTCCTCTCTGTATTTACACATGAACTCACTTAACATTGGCCCTGGTCCTGTCCTGACGGGCTCTCTTTTTCTCTCTCTTTCCCTCACTCTCTACACATATCGATTACCGATGTGTTTGTAGTACGCGCTGTGTATTTTTATACATTGCATGTTTTTGACTTGTTCTTGTAGTATTTTACTTCTTTTTTTTTTATTCTCGTCGTTGCCGTTGCCATTAGTATTGCTGTTGTTGCCCGTTCTGTTTCTTTTATTTCACTCTTTCATGCAGCCCCATTCGAATGCGTTCGTCTCTGTCGTGGAAACAAATTATTATTTAGCCACAGCAAGCGTAACCGCATTATGCAGCAGCCACACAAACCGAACACATCACATTGACTGGTGCCATTTGAACGATCAGTCGTCCAAAGGATCGCCGTGAATCAAGATCAACATTTGCCGTTGCTCACGTCACTCAACCTGATTCAATTTCAACTCTTGTACATTTCTGTGCAGCTCTTGATCCATTCAAAGTTGTGAATTCGGTTACTTGGTGCAAAAAAAAAATAACTCGATGTTGTTTTTTTTTTCATTTCGTTCGTTTAAATTTTTTTCTCTATTCAAGTTGCAATATTTCGTCATTGTAAATTAAAACGAGTGTTTCTTTCAAGTGCATGTGCACGGTAGATTAGTGCGTTTCAATTGGAGCCGGCAAAACTCATCGAAAAAATTCTTTTTATAGATTGGATAGCAAAGCACGAGGAGTTCTTTTCAAGTTCAAACATGATGGATTTGTGTGAATCGAATGCAAGCAGTTTGGTGATATTTTTACAATTTTCTTTCATTTTACTGTAGTAGTTGTTTTTAATGCCAGTTGGATGGGTTCTCCACAGAAAATTTCTAGTGATGGTGTGGCTTCAGTTTATTGACTTTAATTTTAACAAAAAATAATTCTCTCTACAAAATCCAAATATTTACATAAGTTCCAGACGACATAATTCAAATTGTCAGCAAATTCAGTAATTCACCCGATTAATTTGTTTATTCGAATAATTTTGATGCGATAAAAATCATGGAATAATTGTTTGGTCACGAGTAAATGCAAAAGAAAAAGAACAAGTATGAGACAGAAATAACAACAACTGGCCAATATCGCAAACCAAAAAAAAAAAAAAAAAACAACAACAACCGAGGGACCGATTGAATTGGACAATCGGCTGGCTCAATGTTTAGCAATGGAATTGAGGCAACATTTGCCGTTGGTCAAGCTATTGAAACGGTAGCGTGAATGGAACAACAACGACAATAAACGGTTTTAATAACCATAAACAGTATATCGGTTTATGATGTCGCATTGTGTCGACTGAATCGCTAGCAAGTAAATATGGAGTCAGCGCGTCTTTTTTGCTTTTTCGCTTGCTGCTGTTGCTGATTAAATACACACAATATAGATTTAGAGACATACATGTAAATTTATTCAGTCGGTCTTTCATCATGTACATTGTATACTTGAACTTGGTCATACAGCAGCGGCGAATTCTCTGTCATCTCACGCGTTATAAAATAAATGCTATTGTTCTAAACGAGACAGCGACGGTATTTTTATGTTTCGGTTGTTATTCTTCGTTAAATTCCCTTTCGTTCGTCTATCGTCGCCTTTTCTCTCTCTCTCTCTCTCTCTCTCTCTCACTCTGTCTCCTTGATGTGTGTGTACGTGTGTCTTTCTCGCTCTCTCCTTTTCTCATTCGCTCATCACCCATTTTTGTCATCGTTATCTCGGTATTTACTTATTCTTTTGTTATATTTCAAGTCTATTTTATTCACATCAAGCGCAACAACTGAACACAAAACAAACCAGAAAAAAACACACACACATACACACAATCACATTGAAATGAGGAGCATTCTCTGTGTACTTCATCGAAGCAGTTTCATCTTGTGTCTCATATCGTGCCTTTAGTTTCTTTTGAATTTCAATTTTAGCATTTGTTGAAAAATGAGACAAGAGAGAAGAGAAAAAAATGACAAAAAAACAATCAAAAATACTTCATTTTCATTTCGGTGCGCCGTGCAATGAGAGAACGTTTCGACGAGCATAAGCAAAGTGAAAGCTTTGATATCCGACGACATCAGAACGACATGATTTAAGACAAACGTATTGTGTGTTTGCTGGAATCATGTTTTTTTTTCTATCTCACTGTTCTGTGTGTCTGTTCTTGTCTCAAAACCGACCACCAAAATAATGACACATATGTTTTGTACGTCACATTATTAACGACGATGCAAAACCGTTTCGGGCAAATACATAGCACAACATTTATATATAGACATCGATACTTCTCCAGACACATGAATCAAAAACGGTTAAATTTTGCTCAGCAACATTCAATTCGTAAATTTCGTCGTTTTTTTTTGCGGTTTTGAAGCGAAAGTCGCGACACGGTCAGAATCGACACGAGACGGTTTCCTACACAGTCAAATGGATATTTTAATCATAATCCCATATAACGATTACATAAACCTCGAGCGCATATTTCAATGTCATCTGTTCTGTTCGTCTCGCGCTGCTTTTAATCGGTCATTTCGGTTTGAATGGAAATCTCTTAACTGTTCTTTTGAAGTGAACTGAATTGATGTCGTTCGATTGTTTTTCATTTTGTTTCTGGCCATACTTACGGCCGGAATGGCGGTTAATGGTTGTATATAAACCCCACACGAACGAAGATAGGGAAAGAAACTGAAATTGATAATGATAATTATTTTGCTAGAACAATGCATTCATGAATTTTGAGCTTCGTTATTCACTTCGTGCACCCTCTTCATTCTCTATATCTCTATCTCGCTCCTGAAAGTGTGTGAAAAAAAGACTGTTGCAATTCGTTGAGGTGAGTGCTCTCTAGGCGCAACTAGCGATTTCGATGCGCATTCAAAGAGAAAGAATAAGAAGAAAAAATGCAAATTTTTCATGCAATATTCTGTGAATGTCTGTGCATCATCATTTTCGTGTCGAGCTCTTCATTCCATCGCAATTCTCACACTCTACACACACACACACAAACACACCGACTTCAATATTTTCTATTCATTTTCCTATTCTTTCGGCGATTATTATTACGTTTTAATGTTTAGCTTTTTTTTCTCTTCAGATTTTCTCGTCGTTTTTTTTTCCTTTCGTTTTGCCATTTTTCTTCTTCGGCAATTGTTTCGCACTATACATTTGATATCATTAAAAAAAAATTGTTGCTTTTTTTTCTCTTCTGTTCTTACGTTAATTTGTAAATTTCGTGCTAGCAATTCGGCTCTTTTCTTTCACCAAACAAACGTGCGATTCATGAATGCATTTGCGAGTGCATCTACAGCATTCATGAACGGTTCTTTTTATTTACGTTTTCGGTTCGGTTTTCTTTTTTCATTTTTCTTGGACGTTTTTTTAGAAATGTAATAATTGGCATTGAAGTCAACATTTGTTAACATTTAATTCAGTCAATTTTATGTTGCTTCGCTGCCAAAACTTGATATTTTCCAAATTATTCTTTGAATTGGCTGACTGACTGAAGGAATGAAAACCATCAATTGCACATTCACCGCCAACAAAGTTGCAGCAAAGATGAAGACATGGCGTGTCTCATACGAATAAATTTCATCACGAATTTCTGCTCTTTTATTAAATTTTAATCTAAATTGTTGGTGATTAAAATGTTATGCAATGCGAAAATAAATGCGTATGTTTGTAGACACTTTACCAACTAATTGGCACACTCTTTCGGCATATTGAGAGTTCGTCTCGATTCGATCTGAAGCGAGACCATTGTTTGCCTCTGAAAATTACAATTAATTCCGGCAACATTGGGGAACAAGAATTTTTTCGTAGATGCACTCTATCGACTTTTCATTGTTGTATGCGTATCACGTTTTTTTTCTGTTTCGTTCAACATTTAGACAAAAAAAAGCAACATTGTTGTTTCTTTGTTTGCGAATTATTTGCATTGTGTACGTATGTGTTCTTCTTCTTGTTTGTTGCTGTTGCATTTTGTTCTGTCGTCACTTTTTCCATCGATTAATTGTTTTTTTTCCGTTTCTTTCATGGCATTCTATTACACGCATAGCCACAATGCATAATTACATAAAGTGGCAGAGCTATGCTTCCACTGCTTGGTTAATGATATGCACACTTTTTTCCAGCATAATTTTTTTTTTCGTGTGTGCATATTCCGACCATGGAAATAAAAAAAATCCAACGCTTCTGTTTTGTTTGTTGGGCTTCGCATGTCGATGCATCAGATTGTTCATCGTTTTTGAGCCTCTTTGTTCTCGTTTCAGATCGATTCGCGGCATTATGAAAAAAAGAGCATATACACAGGCACAGACACTCACAAACTGACTGTTCGAGCGAAACAAAAAAAGGGAGACTGAATAGAAGCAACATACTAAACGCCACATCATATATGCATTTTGTGGCGAAACAAAAAATATTAACCGACCAACATAAAGCAAGAACTAAGGCACAAAAAATGCAGCCGCATCCAGAAATAAATTGCAAATGAAACTCACAAAAAAAACACGAGACGGATTGTATATCAAATGGAAATTACGAAAAGTAGAGAGAGATAAAAAAAAGTGAGCCAACCAAACAAGCAAACTGAAATGCAACTAAAAATGCATCAAATGTCCAATGTCTGGTTTCGACGATTCGTCAAATGGTTGGATTCCAAATGGGATAGCATTTTTTTATGATTTGCAGATTGACTCAAAGAATATTCATGGCTCGTGATTTCCTCAAAATTTGGTCGATTAAAACTAGAGCTCAAAATCCAAAGCAGAATTCAGCATACACCAAATTTAGCATTTCCAAGCGATCGAATCTTAAGAGACAGAATTCTGTTACTCGCGATTGAACGAAGAGAAAGAGAGAGAGAGAAAAAAAATGCAAGTACAAGACAAGACTTGAGCTGTAAAATCGTTAAGTTGAATAAAATGCTTGCACCATTTTGGAAGCCAAGGAACCGATCGCGAATATCGAAAAGAAACAATACAAACGTGCAATTTGCTTTATATACTTGAGGCTTGTCCATAGTCTTCGCTGCGTTTTTTTTTTCTTTCTCTTGTTTTATATTTTATGCACCAACACCAATAAAACTAATTGGAATTAGGTTTTGAGTGTACGATTGGGGAATGGTGCGAGAAGGAAGAGACGAAATAACTATAACAAAATGCATAAAATACATGATAATAGCAGCGCATAGCCGGTTGCACACGCACACACACATGCACGCACACATATATGTATATTTAAAAATAGCGCGATTTGCTCTGGCGTTGACTCTCTTTGTTGAATACATTTCAAAGGCGTCTGCTTGATGAGAATGAGAGTTGACGATAGTAGAAGCACAGAAGAGTTGAGAGTTGCATGTGTTCGGTTTTTGCGCGCTCGCTCACTTAGTCGTTGATTCGTTCGTTTGCTTTCTGAATACATAATATCTACTGCACCATGAAATGAGAGTGGCCAAAGCGCAAAATGTGAATATATGTTTATGTGTGTTTGTGGTACGATCAATTGTCCTTGAAATATCAAACCGAATAGCCCAGAGGTTATCGAACGAAAGGAAATAATGCTTTAAATTATTTCGCTGCTGCTCTCGTCATTCTTCTCTTTCTCTCTTTATCTCTCCCTCTCTCACTCGCCATTTGCCTGACTGCCTGCCTGCCTCGTTTCACTTCGATGTATTCCCTACATTCCCTTTTTCCATGCCTTTTTTCACGATGCGTGCACCTAATGTATGCTCCGCACAAACACACATATTCACTGCCATGAACCATCTCAAGTGTGCAAATTTTGTTCGATTCGCCTCGTTTCTTTTTGCAATGAACAGAGAGTGAAATTATTTACTGGCCTTTTTTCCATTCCAACCGATTCTCGTTCATTTTTTTCTTCTCTCTCTCTCTCTATCTCTCTCTCTCTCTTCCTCTAGCTCTCTCTGCGTGTGTTTGCTTCACTTTTTTTTCAACATGAAATGGCTTTAGTCGGTTCTTACCTCGTTTTCAATTCAAATTGAAATTTCAGTCGTTGCAAAAATAAAGCGAGTACGAATTGTATGTATTTTTAGCAAGTGGTTTACATTATAAACTGAACAAAACACGACTGAGATTAGAATAGCTCATGATGATCTTGTTTATTCTTTTCTTCGTATCATTTCAGGTGCAACGATGTGTCGATGCTGCAAATGGAATTTACAACATTTCTGGAACTTGGTAACTCCACCACCGTTGGCGTGTGTTATTGAAAGCCAATGGAAGCTGGAGTTCCCACGTACCGAATGTTTGATCAACAATTTTTTCAACGCAATGGAGGACAGAAGGAATTTCATTTATTGAAACGAAGGCGTTTTCCGTAGATGTGAAATATAAATATATTTATTATTCTTATGTATGTGCTTCATTTAAAAATCAAAAATAACAAAATGATATAGAAAAAAAACGAAAACTTTCAGTTCATATAATTGCGTTACTCAAAGGTAATCATATATTCATTCGATACAATGTATGCAATGGGTCATTCAGGCGACCGGTTTGATCGAAACGTGTAATTTAGCTTGCACGACAAACTGCCCCTGATGCATTAAATTCGAATGGATCGGCCATCATTCTTTGTTGATTCACCACCACCGTGGTATCGTAATAGGAAACGCGATTTTCGGAATCGAATTCGTCAGACTTTGGGCTCCATAGCCGAATCTCGTGGTCAATTCCACTGGTCGCAAGCAAACACAAGTACGGATGTGGCTGCACACAATTCACAATTGTTGTATCACCTTTATAAACGGCCACAATTTTAGTGGTCGGCCTTTCCCATATGTAGAAATTACCTTCGTCAGACCTACGAATCAACGATTGAATATGAATAAATATTTTTTCAAATCAAATTAACACGGAATTGTTTTTTTATTTACCCAGCTACCACAAAGCTTCCATCGCCCCCAAAGTAATTTGCCTCTTTTATGTCAGTGGTTGTATTACAATGGCCCACAAATCGCTCACTAAAGTCTTTTGCAATCGTCCTCCAGTACTGTTAATGTGAAACAAAGCTATTTTTTTATTCAAATTCTTCAGAGAAAAAAAACCATCATTAATGCAACGTACCATTTCGTTATTGGATAGCTCTGTGTTTGGACTTTCAGCACTATTTTGATTCGAATTACGATGTTGCTGCAATAGAAACCATTTTATTTTTCATTAAATTCATCAAAAAAGAAATGAAATTAACCGGTTCTACCTCGATGTGACTTTGAATATCCTGAGACAAGAGTTGAATTTGTTTGTTGGTTGCATCATTTGGAAATCGTTTTTTCAGTTCGTCCAAACATTCGCTGGCTTCCATAACGAATCCCAATTCGAAGAGGGCACGAGCCAAACGGAAATGCGCTTTAACATAAGTCGGATCCAATCGAAGTGCCTGTTGACAATCACGCAGTCCCGAATACATATCACCGAACCAATTACGGCGCATGTAGGCCGTTGCACGGTTCAAATAAAATACCGGATGATTTGGTAACAATTTGATGCATTCACTGTATTGATTGATTGCTTGCAAATATTTCTCGTTCTCCATGAATTCATTGCCCGAACGCTTCATCTCGTCAACATGCTTGGGGAGCTTTGATAGTTTTGTGTAAGTAACGGGAGTTGTGCTAGTGGAAGGCAACTCAGATGCGGAATCTGGATTTTTATTTTCATCTGGCTGGTCAGTAGTTTTGTTGAATTGTGGCATACTCAGATACTGAAAAATAATGTTTTTTTATTTTATTTCAGTATTTAGCGAATTTAGCATAAAATGTTTCAATTTTTCGGTTAGATATTCAAACAATTGGCAAAGTATTCTTACAACTGGTTGTTGTGCATTGTTCAAGTCATAGAGGTAAATCTGTTCTGAGCCCATGTTTACGAGCAGTTCGAGTCCGTCTGGACTAAAGGTAAGATACGTAATAGTCTTTGTGGTGAAGCCCGATTTGCGGTCTTTGAATTTATTCAAATGGCCTGGGCAGAAGTAAGTGACACAGTCTCTGGATAAGTTGTCTTCAATTTGACGATCATTTTGACTGAGCGATACATCGCCAATCTAAAATTGTAGAACAATCATTCAAAAATTAGTTAATTCAATAAAAATGCCAACTGAATGTGTTCTACGTGTTTACCCGAAACAATTTGATCATACGACGATCATAAACTCGAGCATACGCATCACTTGCACCGACCGCCAACTGTTCTGGCCGTCTAGGATTTACAGCCACACATTTTGCTTCTGCACTCGCACCAATATGGTTTTTTAAGTCAACCAAGCACACCTTTTCTTCGCGAGTACATTCATGTGGCTCTCGGATATCGAATTGTCTGCAATAAAAATATAGAAATTTTGGTTCAATTCCAGAATTGCTTAAGTTTAATAGAATATTTGAATTTCATACAGAATTTTCCCATCTTCGCCTGCTGACCAGAAAATGCAGGGACTCTCTGGAACGGTTGCCAATCGCTTGACTCGCGTTGTGTGACAACTGCATTTCCAGCACGGTGATGATAAATCCGCAGCACGGTTCAAATCAAACACATAGCAATATTGGTCAGCGGCAGCCGTTACAATCAATGTATCACCAGTGTTGGGTAAAAATTTCACTGAAAAAATGTTCCCTTGATGTGGTGTCATAATGTCAAGTGCCGGCTTATGGTAAAATGGATTCCACAGAATCAAGCGATTATCATCGCTGCCCGATGCAAGCAATCGGCCATTGCTAGACCATTCCAAGCAATTTACACATCCATTGTGACCTTCCAATTTGGCTTCAACATCTAAATTCTGTATAAATTGGGGAGCGGCTTTCAAGCGATTTCGAATCAATGTCTCAATATTGAAGTATGGACGATCATTTTGTAGTAAAACCACATTTCGTGTTGTTCGCGGCGACCAATGATAGTGCCTGTGCATCTTTGACATGATGTTGACACTAAAAATTAAACGAACAAATGACGAAATAATTTCCAAAATATCACGAGATAACAACATATTTGTGGATGGCCAATTACCTTAAGTCGACTCAATTCTTTTCTCTTCAATTGTAGAACAATCGATTGCAAAAGAAAAAATCGATAAAATCAACCAATTTTTAATCGTTTAATTTTAATCTGTTTACTTAGTGCTGAATAATAGCAAAAAATTCTGCGCTTTTTTTTCCAATTGTATTGGAAAATTTGTGAGTATTTTGATTTCGGATTTATCTATACTCACTCATCGTTTTCCGACTATGACTTTGTTTTGACAGGTCTTCGATTTCTCTTTTCATTCTTCGCATCAGCAGCGAATAAAAACAAACAAACAGTCTTCCAAGCCACACGGGCAACACGAAATGCAAAATGATTTGAAAAATAGCGCGCCATTTTCATTTTCGAACGAATGCATCGGAATTTCTTGAGTGTTGAAAATAAGTTTGGATTCTTTCAATTGGACAAATTAGAGATAAATGCAATTCCACCAGAAAGAGATGAAAATTTATTATCCAAAAAGCGATTCAAACAAAACAACTCATCTGTCATAAAAGGAGTGATATCGACAGAGAAACTGGTCTTGTTCAACGCCTTTCCAGTCACTTCCAATAAGAATATTGTTGATGTGTCACTTGAATGTGAAATGTCAACTTTGGTATATATTTTTTTTTCTCATGTAAACACAGATTTTGACCGAATTTTGCCAGTTTTGATGAAAGTTTCGACGGAAAATTGTGAAATTAGTGTAAAATTGGTGTAAAATATGGCAAAGAAACGTGATTTATTCAAATTACCAGCAGGACCGGCGGAAATTTGTTTCGATAAGAATGAATTTATGAAGAAAATATTTTCGGTGGACGAATTTCTGCAGGAACATCGAAATGCAGCCACATTGGAAACGATGCGAGACGATTTGGGCCTCTATCTCAAAGTGTTACGATCGGCAATGATTGAGTTGATCAACGAAGACTATGCGGATTTTGTGAATTTATCGTCGAATCTAGTGGGATTGGATCAATCGATTCAGGGAATACAAACACCGTTGAATACACTGAAAGATGAAATTGTTTCGGTGCGAACAACGCTTGAGAATACAATGCAGGAGGTGAACGAGTGTCTCGAGCAAAAACGACAATTGCGCGAACAATTGAAGAGTGTTCAAAGTCTAACCAGCGCCAGAAAGTCAATGGGCAAACTGGAGAAGCTTCTTGCCGACAAATTGAATGATGACAGCAATTTGAATCCGATGTTACTAGAGCGAGCAGCAATGGAGTTGGTCAAACTGAAATACAATTTGCAATTTTGCCATCAGCATTTAAATCGATTGGAGGAACCGAATGGTCTGGACAAGTTCGACGAAGTGCACGATAAACTCTTGGCCAAAGTTGAAACACATTTTCTCAAAGTGTTGGATGACAAGAAAATCGATCAGCTTGAGCGATGTCTTCGAGTTTATTGTACACTAGGTGAATATCGTGCCGCCGAGGAAATATTCCGGAAAAAGGTCGTCGGCCAACATATGCATCCAATCATATCGGAAGTGTCATTGCAAAACGCCCCACAAGGACTGAATGGCATTTACAATCAAATCATTCAATTCCTAAATGATCGAATGCGGCAATTGTTGTTGCTCACACAACCAAATGACAGCGCACCAGCAACGGTGCAAGGCTTTGATTTTATAATCAACAGTTTTTGGGTGGAAGTTGAGCATCGCATTGAAACACACATGACATCGATTTTTGCACCTGGTAACCCAGATTCGTTCTATCAAAAATATGAGCATACCATCGCATTTCTGGAAAAGATCGAGGGCGTTATCAAGAGTCGCAAGCAAATCGACCGATTCTGTGATCATGTGCAATATAAACAATTTCAAAGCAAATGGAATTTACCCGTTTACTTTCAAGTAATTTTAGACTTTTTTGTTTTCTTTTGGCATATTTTTCAATTTTCGCATTCTACTCCCATTCAGATTCGTTTTCAAGAAATTGGAGGTGCCTTGGAGTCAGCATGTAGTGAGTTAATCAATGAACACACCGTTGTTACATCAGAGAGTGGTTTGAGTTTGAAACCATTTGTCAAAGGTGATGCGTGCATTAAAAAATGCTGGACAACTGGTGTCTATTTGCCGCAGCTGTTTGCACGATTCTTCAAATTCACGCTGCAAATTTTGTCGCGGCTCAGTAAATGGTCGGAAGAAGCGACGGCCACAAAGAACTTACCATCGAATTTGGATCGTGTGGATTTCATGACGATGATTTATTTAGATGTAAACACTTTGATAGGGAAAATATCGAGCATATTTGATTGTATCGTAGAGAAAATTCCGGCTAATATGAACACGCACCTGAGCCTCGTCGAAAAATGCTTTGATGAATCGCGTAAAATGTTGACGGAGCGCTTGAAACTGATCGAGCAACAATGGAGCAATGAGATCATTGCCAAAACGGCTGGATGGACGAAACAAGTTGGTGACATTCCAAGGCTCTACCGTAAAACCAATCGAGAAGCACCAACTAAACCGTGCAATTATGTTGAACAAATTCTTAAGCCAGCCAAATCATTCTACACGAAAAATTCCAATCGAATCGCCACAGACATCATAAAGCAGTGCATGGTTTTGTCATTTTCACATTTAAATCGACAGTAAGTTGAGAAAATAGTTAACCGAGACAGAGAATTTGGTTTTAATTGAAAATTTTTATTGCTTTAAGGTATTTCTCAGCCGTGAGCGATGTGCTGACATCAGTACAAAAGACAGAAGAATCGTTGCGTAGACTTAAGAATCTGCGTGAAAAATCGGGATCAGCACAACATGGCAGTGCTTCAGCCTCGGGAATGTCAGATGATGACAAAATTCGTTTGCAATTGCATGTCGATATCTGTGCCTGGTGTGATGAAATCGAAAAATTAGGAGTCGACCGAAAATCGGTGGATAAACTCTCGGAATTAATCCAACTGGTAGAAGAATCAACAAAAATAAAAGTTACAGATAAATAATTTTTCGTCATTTAAATTAATCCAATAAAAATGTGTATTTTTTTTCTTTGTTATGAATTCGATGTTTCCTATTAATTTAAATGATACAATAAAAACTACAAGCAACCTATTTCTATTCATCTCCATCTTCACGCATCATTTGTTCGATCAATTTTTTCCGCTCCTCGGCTTGCCTCATTTGCCGCAGCACAAGTGATTCAAAATCGGTGTCTGTGATTGTGCTTGATCCATTTCCAGGGCGGCTGTTGTTTTTCGGTGCATTGCCAATCCATTCTAGCGTCAATGGGTTGTCCATGTTGCCTTTTTCGTAGTCAACCGCCATTTCGGCAGCATCTTGGGCTTTAAACTCGACGACAGCGCTTCCTTTTTTCTTGCCCGAAATAACCAAAGCAATGATGTCTCCGTACTTCTTCAAATAGTTTCTGAGGATGGTTTCATTGTAGCCACCGTTTGTGTTGTCACCTTTGTCGGCTTTCCATTTGATTTTGATGCGATGTTGTGATGAATCCCAACGATTTGAGCTCTCTTGCATTTTCAAACGCTCTTCGGCCAATTGTTTGCGCATCATTTCTTGTTCTTCTTCCAATAAACGTGAGCCCTCCTTACGCAACCGATCCATTTCATCTTTGAGCTGTTCTTCGGGTGATTTTTCCGCTGCATAGCCCGTTCGTCGCGCTTTTTGCTGTGAATTCGCCTCTTTTTCACGACGCTCTAAATCTTCGATCAATTTTCGCCGTTTGCTATCCAATTCGGCATGACGTAAGGCAGCTGCTTTCTTCGCATTCAAAACCCGGTCATAGGCTGCACGAGCCGATTCATCAGTCAAAATTTCCAATGCACTGGCCAACTCATGGAACAGCTCAGCTGCTTTTGGATTGTCGGGATTTTTGTCCGGATGGCAGACCAACGCTTTCTTTCGGTACGCTTTGCGAATCTAAATGGATTGAAAAGAAGAAAATAGTTAGTTTTGAATACGAAAAGGATTTTGCTATAAATTAAAAAAACGTTTGTTTACCTCACTTTGCGTCGCACCAATTTCCACGCCAATCAAACCGTACAGGTCGATGTTGGCAAACTTTTTTACATCAACCATTTTGTATACACGTTCTTTAAAATCAATAAATTAATTTAAATTCTTATTTACAAATGTTTTTTTTTAGTCAAAACAAATAAACTATCACGGAAAACGTGAACTTGCTTGTTTCCTTTCAAATGAACGATTAAACGTTTCGAAACGTCAAACACGAACTGTCAGAATCGAGCATTACTCATACATGTGAGTTTGTGTATGTGAGTGTATGAGCGTCTTACAAATTCCTTTTTGACACAATTCGTCGTTAAAATCTCTCTGCATAGAATGCATCATTTTTCATTTTCGGCATGTTTTATGATTCGCTAAAAAAATTTTGTCAGGATTTTAGCATAAAAGGCATTTGACTTCATATACAAGCAGGGTAGTCTTGTTGCTTCGTTGTTCAAAAGATGTGATGAGTCTCAAATCATCCATGAACACAACAGGCTGGTGTTCATCGTTCATCTCTGTGCAAGGCAGGCAGGCACAAACAAGCTCAAAGCGAAGCGACAAAGCTCAAGGCGTAGCGTTCAAAAGCACTCTGAAATGAAAATTGACTACTTTTTTTGCAAATAAATTTATTTTTATATTCGTTTTTTTCTTATTTGTTCAACTTTTCTGAATTTTTATTTCTATTTTCTGTAAACGAGACCTAAATGCAAATAATAGTTTGAAGAACCGAAAGATTTTTTATTTCTCCATTCAACAATCCGCCGAAGTGCTTATAATTCGCTAGCTTTCGAATTTTCGCGTTTTCGTATAAAATGCGACTGGATTCAGTTATTAATTGAAAGTAGTCGCTTGCTTCATCGTTTGAAAGATTTGATGTATCTTAAAATCATCACGGCTTATGCCAAAACAACAACAGCAACAACAAAACAACAACAAAAAGTTCAACAGAACAAATTTAAACCTCATCGCAGAACTTTGAAGCATAATTCGACTATTTTTTTTGCCAACATTTATGATAATATTCGATCGGAAATTGAACAGAAAACAAAACAAAATGAGAACAGTAGTTTTTTTTTCTTCTTTCAAACGATAAACATAATTAAGAAGACCAGCAACCACCGTTTTTTTATATTTTCGATTGCAGTTTATCGCTGGATTTGACATGTTTCGCTTTATCAATTCGTTCATTCTTATCAGCTCTTACATGCTTATCATTTATTAAAGACTCGTTCATTTTATAATTCGCTCAATTTTTTTAATTCCGTGTATTCGTAAAAAATATGAGTGGACTCGGTTATTACATGAGTAGTCAGTGACAACTAGTCACTTGCTTCATCTCTTAAAAGATTTAATGTATCTTGAAATCATTATGGTGAGAAATCAAACCAACCCCTTGAAAGGCAAACAAAAATGTTTTAGCCGAACAGAGTCGTAAAACCACTAGAAGCAAAACTCGACTACACTTTTTGGTGAAGAAATAATTTTTTCAATATATTTGCAAACGTATGCTATAGTTCCTTTGCATTCGATACATTTAGTTGCTTGCAACTCCATATATTTCCACTGGAATGATGAGTAATCCAAAGATCAGATGTTCGAAACTCGGAGTGTGAGGATAATTTTTTTTCTTTTATTCTATACTATTTTCATTTTCTATTCGATTTTCCATATCAAAAACATCATTGTAATGCCATTTTTTATTTTTTCAACCCATAAATATGATGAAAAACAAACAAATCGAAGTTTTTTTTCATTAAAAATCAATAAAATGATTGAAAAAAAAATCCATAAAATAAACGCTCAACCAATGTTCAAACGGGATTTTTGCAAAAAGAATAGTCATGACGAACTTCACGGTGGTTTTGATTAAACGATAATACGATTTCTTTATACAGGCAATCAGAATTACGATTCAAATCATAGTCGTTCGGATGCTAAGACTGTTAAGTCTATAGGTAGTATTTTCGGTTTCTTCCAAGTTTTTTTTTTGTATTCAAACTCATTTTCATGAACATCATGATACGTTGATGTAGTCAAAGTCACATCATACTTTTCAAACCATGAAGTTCTGGACTATCCCGCATATAGTGCAAACCAATGCGTACTTATACCGATTTCTGTGAATTCGTCGACTTGTGAATTATAATTCGAGGCAAAATGAAAAACCGAAATGCGCTTGTCCACACACTCATTCATATGATGGAATCATAACAAAACACTATACCCGTTTCATTCATAAATTACTCACAACACATCAATTGTGAACCGCACATATGTGTAATTGAACCGCTGCATCAGCATTTGAGTTGGTGTTGTCGTTACAAAAAACAACGATTATGGAACATTTTCCGTTGAAAACATAGGGAAAAGTCAATATTTTCACAGAAAATTTGCAAAGTAATGTAGATTATTCGAATTTGTACTGGAAAAATCCGAGAAGAGTTGTGATCGATACAGGTTTTTGAGCCAAATAACAGTAATTCCAATCGGAATCTATTCTTTTATCAATTGAATGCACAAGAAAAAGATGAAACCCATTTCATTTAAACTTAAATTTTCTTCAAAATCATCGATTCATCGTATAGAGTGTAAATTCATGGAGAAATCATGCACCTTAAAGCATTTAAAAAAAATAAATATCAATCCTGATAAGAAATAATATAACGTAAACTTGAATCATTTGCATTTTGTTTACACTGAAACTGAGCCGACACCGTAAAACAAAACCACTGCCATAGCGAGGGATCAGTTTTTGAAATGTCATCAAACGGTTCAGAACCAACACAATCATACCATAAATGATCACCGCATACCGTAATAACAACAAATTTGTATGTTATTTACCCATTTATGTTTTGCGGTCTCTTTCGTCCATATACACACAAACGTTCACCATGCTGATTTGCTGGCTGATAGTCGTCTCGTTCACACTTCCACCCAATACATGCACAACTATTCACACGAATCGGTTGTCAATGTACAAAGAAGTCTATGTGGCGTTCGTTGATGTGTGCGTGCGTACGGAATTATTTTCTCGTGAAGTATTGAAATTTTTAGTGTTAGTTCATTCTATTCGTTTTTGTAGAACGGTGACAGCAAAACGACGACTTAAAAAAAAGAGGAAAACGGAGAGATATCCATCAAAATCTGTTTTTTTTTTGTTTCATAGAAATTCCATTTTATATTCCGTGAACTGTGTATGTGCTTTGAATAATAAATAGGTTTTAGTTTAAATTGAAAACTATCAGCGAAGAGCAGAAAAAAAACAGCGAAAAGCATTCCACACAAACTAAAGCAATTACAAGTCCAGAAAAGTGGAGAAAAACAACTAGTGGAAGAAAAAAAAAATATCGGTCGCCTAAAATTGAATCCACTCGCAATCGATCAATTAAAAAGGTTAACATTTTGTGTTGTTTCGTGTGATATTTTGTCATGTAACGAATTATGACATTTAATGAAGGCGTTTTTTGTGCTTATGCTTGCAGTCGTGATGATGTTTGTTGATGGACAAATTTTTGTTTTTCCAAAGCAACTTAATGTTGTGTTGTTGTTTTTGTTGCTGGTCAAATGACAGCTATTCACATTTTCAGTCAGTTTTTTTCTGCTGTTTTATTCAATTTTGCGCTGGCTAGTATTTTCTAGTTTCACTTGAATGTGGTTACTGGAGTGTCGTTACCGAGCGGAATATATCGTTCGAAATAGAGAATGTCGCCGATTGTGACTGAGAGATACACCAGAAATGTTATGAACATGGTCGCCATACGATACACTAGATTGTGTCAATTGTAATGAGGCAGCCCATGCAATTTGAAGATTTACTTGATTTCCTTGTGCAATAAATTATGTATCTGGATTACAGCTACTAATAAGGTTGAACGACAACTTGAGTTAAAACATTGAATAATTGAAACGAGCTTCCCTGCGCCATTATCATAGTCGACTGTAATGTACATTTATTTTTGTCAAGCGAAAATCATCACCACAAATTGGCATAGTAACAAACGATTTTCCTAATTAGGTGTAATCTCGACACTGAAACGTGTACTTCCCTTTACAACAACGTCGGCCGTGTTTCTCTTTTTTTTCCGTTGGCATCAGCAAAACTTACCTCTGCTGCTGTAAAATATCGATTCCATAGTATGCTAAGAAATTCGTAATTGAATTATAATGCTGGGTATCATAAAACAACAGCAAAGTTAGAACTCTATCAAAACCATTTTGGTCATATTTTGACGTGTTTGTCGTATTTTTAGCTGTAAAAGGAACAACGACACTCAATAACAAATGAACGTTGGTGTGTGTGTGTGTGTGTGTGTGTGTTCGTGTTGTTTATGGCCTGAAAACAGTGTGAAATTGAATGTTCGATGAAATCAAGTAACGACACTCACTTAATGTCGCTGTGTGCTGTATTGACAATTCCGATGGGATTTCGGCCGATTGGGCGATTCATTGTGCGGGTGAAAATGTGGGAAATCGATAAATTCGTACGTTCGACAAGAAAAATGTGTTTCCAACGAAATACCACTACGTATCCCACGCGAACGACCACAACCAAATTGTTTTAATACGATTTTATATTAAATTAAATTCGCCTGCTATGCTGGTATTTTTCACTTGCGCATTTCTTCAAAACGTAGAATGAAATAAAAAAAATCGCTTCGAACACAAGAACATTGCTCTTGCTCTTGCTCTCTCAATTGATTGACATGCAATGAAATGAATTTCATCTTTAAAATAATCAATAAATACTTTTACACAGTGCTTATTTCTATGCGAAAACTGGCGTTGTTGGTTTATCTCATCGGGTAATTCTATCATTCATGTATGTTAAGGCAAAAACGATTTCGTCGATCGCGAAACTCTCGAATATTGTCGTTCGCTGTCGTAAATGGTGTGTAAGATATTATGACATCATCTCCATTCACAGATTTTAAAGCCATTGTTTGGCTTTGTGCACGGTTCATTGAACACTGCCGGATTCACTGCCGAAAAATGTTTTGAATTCGGAATAAAACCACAGCAAATTTTCTCACAGTTCTTTCTCTCGCTATCTTTCACTCTGAAGTTCCAAGATGTCATTCACTTTGACGGTACGACTGCGTTATTGTGGTTTAATCATTATAATATTGCTCTCATGACATAACATTGAAAGAAAAAAAACACACCATACACTCCACGCCCATTTCTTTATCGAAAATGGATAAATGAGTTTAATAGCTCTGTTATAGCATTATCCAGTAATCTTAAATAAGATTCCTAATGTGTGTTCACGTTCAAAAATGCCAGTACATGAGAAAACAGTAGATCGTTAGTGTATACGGCTAACAAACTTGCTGATATCACGTAAGGTGATGTAGACCATTTTAATTGCATTCACAATTTCTGGAATTTGTTCGTCTGTTCATGAACTTAAATACTGTATCACGGACATTAAATACACAACAATGCTCGCTATTTATATAATTCAAGAATATTCGAGTAAACAAAATCGATTTTACAGTTACCCAGAATAGAATCAATACTAAATCAGTTACATTGAGTGGTTTAATTTCGGATTACATGCTCACATAGATTTCATCAATTTCCAGACAAAAATAATATTTCTTACACGATGTTCCGAACATATTTTTGTCGGAAAACAGTTTTTTGGACGATTCAAATCAATCTGCAATTTAACATGTAGAAATTTCATTATTTTAGAACATCGTTATCATCATCTTGCCGAAATATGCGAATCCTTGACTGTAATTTTTGATATCTCAGTGCCTCTTTTAAAATAAGCTGATTAATTTTATTTATTGTTTACATTTGGAAAGAGATTCCATTCAAAATGAAGCTAAAAAATTATGAATATAAAGGAATCAGCTCAGCTGATTCAGCTGAGTAAATAGTCTATTATACATTAAGAATGCGTTTTTACCTTTAAATTCCATTTGTTCTTTTCCCTATTAGGCGATGCCTTGAATTTCGTCTAAAATTCTCCGGTTAATTTAATGACGAAATGCATGCAGACTTTTCACTAAATGTATATAAATCACAAGTCATTGAAAAACCAACAGCAAACTAGCAGCTTTCAGGCGGATGATTTAAAGACGAACACCCTGTCTGTAAATGTGCAAGATTAAATTTGACTATCTAGTTATTCATTAAACCCAAATAAATTTGCATCTCGATTAACGTTCTTCGTCAAATAATTAGTAGTCCGCAAACGATAGCGATTTCCACAGAGCGTCATCATTTTGAGCGTGATTAATTATAATTTTGATTTATGCAAATAAGCTTTATCAACACCCAAGTGCTGTAAAGTTCGTTGTTTGATACAACACCCCAGAAAAATTTCACTCGTGATCGAGTGTTTGTTGTTGTATTGATAGTAATTATGCAAATTGGCATCATATTTTTTGGAGAAATATCCAAATGGATGGCGTAGACCTGTTGCTAGTGATTAAAATGATAGTGTAAATGGTCACAATGGAAAATATCATCCTTTGGGTAGTGACGTCAGAGATGGAAAGCGAGAGAATATGTGTGTGTGTATTTTGGTGGTAGATTGAACGCCCACATTCATTTTATTGTATCGCATCAGCGACACATGCAGAGGAATAGAGTTTATTGGTTCAGATGTAACGAAAATTTAAGAAGCCCAATTCGAATAGTCGCAATCTAATTCTTGGCTCAGCTGCAAACGATATAAAAGGCAGTCACGAAATGATATCCAAAGTTCAATTACATAAAATAGCTGGAACGCATTTGACATTAAGGGCTTGATACTATCATATTAATACGTGCCGATATAAAAACCAATTTGAACCAAATGGCATTTTGGCAGTAAAGTCTCATAAATTCTCATGACAAAAATAGTTCATGTTACAATTAATTTCCATTGTTTCGCAAGCCAAAATGCCTAATTTAGGAGACATTTATGGTGGAGACACCAAGATATTTCGCTTTCGGTTTACATGTGTATCGGCGCAAAGCGACATAACTGATGTTACCATGAATGTGATTAAACTAATTATTTATGGTTTAGGTTACGGGTACGAAGGCGCGCTTCGTTTACAGTTCGTGCACAGGGTCAATCGCAATGAAGTCAATGATAATTTATGTAAATACGCGGAATTATAAATAAGTTGATGCGCTAGCGTCTATTTTACAACGCCCCGAAACCAGTGTTTCCATTGTCATTGTCATTGAATTCAATCCGGTTGCATTAGCGTGATTTGAATGCGCCAAGTCCGAACGTTGCAATTTTTATCATACTAACGCAAAATAGAAGAAGATAAAAATTGTTATGTAGATGCATATCGGTTCTGTTTGTACTCGGCACTACGTTCCAATTGCAATATTGCATACGATTGAATTAAAGTCTGAGCTATTTGATTTATGCTCTCATTCCGATCTGCATATTGTTTGACATGAAAAATTCAATTGAAAATTTCCATTTCATTTTAGCATCCTGCCAGAAATTCCAAAAGACTGAAACTGATTGAAATGTGCGCGAGCGCAAGCACAATGTAGAAGACTGGAGAATGAATGCAGATCAGCAGCAGCAGCAGCAGCAGCAGTGGCGAGTACAGCGCGGAAACAGCAAATCATTAGCATTTCCAATATATGTGAACAATGTTTCGAAGCAACATCAACTCATTACAAACACATCACGCTTACCGAAACCGATCGAAATAAATGCATATTATTATCATTGGTGCCTGCGGACGATGACAACTGAACGCTAACAGCGCAACGTTGAATAGTGCTAAAGTGCTCAAGAGACACACGCATATATACATTATACTACCTACAATTTTCACAAATAACTAAAATTGTAAACAAAATCCGACCAGCAGGAAGAGAGAAAGAAAGAGAGGAAAAAAAATACGCGACGAAATAAACACAAAACAAAACAATGTGAACAAAAACACAAACAGCCGATTGAGTGCACAGTGAGAGAATCAAAGTGGACCGATTGTGCGAATAACAACAACGAGCAAATGAATAAAATAATAAAAAGTGAAAACTAGTTCTAACACAGAAAGCGAAATAAAATCAAATTCAACACAACAATTTAAGTTATTTATGAAAAACGTGCAGAAAAAAACAGCCTTACAGACCAAACCAATAGTTTGTATGTATTCCTTTCGATTTTATGAATGAAATTTTCGACATCAGGATCAATTAATTCACTGTTGACGTCAAGAGAAAAACCCTAAGAAAATCACAACGCCAGAAGAAGACGGTTCGAAGACATAACATCATGACGGTGGATTTCAACGACTATTTTTGGGTGAGTCAAGAACCACACATTCCACACTATGCCGCCGATATCAAAGCTACATAGGCAAGAATTTAAATTCAATTGGAGTGGAAGCGGCCCATTTTAAACGATGACCTTTTCACCCGTTTGGATTGCTTCGTCATTGCTGCCCATTATTTTAATTAAGAGAAGTGCAATACAAAAGAGTCTGATTGGTATCTCATTAAGTTCGATTGGGGACCCACTATGTGCTATGTCAAATAAGTGACTTCCTTTCATTGTGTGCATGCAACGACAACGACAACAATATATATACGTCACGTAGAAAGAATCTCCGTGACAAATCTCTACAACATGTTAAATATCACATGCTCTTTTTTTCTTGATATTTGCCCAGTGACCGAAGTTCTTTTCATCATCTCACACAGTGCTGATAAAAAGACACACTAGATAGAGTCTAGTATCGCGTTGAACGCGACGTACGATAGTGTGTCTTAGTGCCACAGTGCGGCGAATAGTAATGCAAATAGGAGCACTTTTATGTACATTGTACATACACAATGAAATTTTTACTGTGAATAGTTTCTGAACAAATAGAAAAAAAAGAAACATGCGATAATAATAATAAACTCCATTGTTTGGCATGGATTGTGTGAATTTAACTGGCGAATATATGCTATTTTTCCATAATGCAATTCGCTTTTTCGAAAAATTTCAGCTTCAACAAACAGTTTTAAAAGATAATGTCGCACGAAATGTGTGTAAAATGAATAATGCTATAACCGTTTCTTACAAAACTCCGAAAAATACGGTCAAGATACACCGAAAAAAAGTGGCAATTGTTCGTTGTACGACAGCGCAGCAAAGGGCTTCCCCATGTACAAATATTTACGCATGAAGTAGAGATGATAAGATAAAAGCATAAATGAATGCGGACGCATTCTAGCAGAGACAATTATCGAGGAATCCAAACAAAGCAATTCATAAGCTTCGTAAACCATAAACTAGCCATATTTAAAACAAAACGAATTTTTCAGCAAAAACTCCATTTGGCTCGGTTCAGTTCTCTGTTCTGTTTCTCTCGTTCTGGATTCAACTACAAAATGGGCACCTCGATGCGACGAAGGGAACAAGAGAACAATGTTCCGTAAACGATATGGAAATTGAGCTCATGTATTTTTTAAAACTGTACAATTTATCGCTGCTTTTTTTCTGTAAGAGACTGCGACGCGGCATACGACCGACGAGATAAAAAAACCCATTCATTATTTTATGCATATCCACTTCCTATGCGACCGATAGCAATGACCATCATATGAATAGCATTTGATTTTCGGTTGACATTTCTTTTTTCTGTGTTTTTGCTCAAGTTTATCGTCTGTGATAAATAACTTTGCATTGTTCTATTTTCTTTTTTCTCTCCATTTGTTTATGTGTGATGGTGACCGGTTACAGGGTGATAAGAACAACGGATTTGACGTTTTGTATCACAATATGAAATATGGATTGGTTGCCAGCAAGGAGTTGTCGGAATTCTTTCGCGAAAAGTCAAATATTGAGGAGTCGAATTCGAAATTGATGACAAAACTAGCGAATAAAGCTGGTTCAGGATGTGTACAGGGAACATTTGCACCGGTATGGGTGGTGTTGAAATCATCAGCCGAAAAATTGTCGTCGTTGCACTTGCAAATGGTGCACAAAATCTCGGAATTGGTTAAAGATGTCAGCAAATATGCAGATGAACTGCATAAAAAGCACAAATCAGTTAAAGAAGAAGAGGCTAGTACATTGGAAGCAGTGCAAGCGATGCAAGCCTCAACGGCAGCCGTTCAAAAAGCCAAGGATTTATTCTCGAGCCGAATGAACGAATTGGAGAAAATACGCAAAGATGGTTCGGCGAAGGAGTTGGAAAAGGCCGAATCAAAATTGCGAAAACATCAAGACGAATACAAACAGCTACTGGATAAACATAACCCCGTGAAAATGGAATTTGAACGACGAATGAGCATGACCTGCAAGGTACGTAGTTGTTTGGCATTCATTTCACAGAGCAAATTGCGATGACTTATCCGCTTATTTTTTTTTCTCCGCTACAGCGATTCCAAGACATCGAAGAAAATCATTTGAAACAAATGAAGGAATTTTTATCAACGTACATTGAGCTGTTGCAAAACAATCACGATATGGTTGGACAAGTGCACTCTGAGTTCAGGCGACAATTTCTCGAAATGACCGTCGATAAATTACTCGAACAATTTGTGTTGAGCAAATATACTGGCTTAGAGAAACCGGGTACGTATTAGTTGGAAGACAAAATTAAATCGCAAATAGAACCATTCGTGGTCGTGTCAGTTCACTGTCAGTCATCATCGTCGTCGTCGTCTTTCGTTTCCATTCAATCCCATTTTAAGCTTGTGTCTTTATCTCCCCCTCTCTCTCTCTCTCTCTTTGCCACCGCTGAACCAAATCCCCTTTTTAAAGTGTACAGCAAAGTGAACCCAACAAATAGAATGCCATAGAGATTTTGTCTGTCCGTCTGATTCGTTCGCTTTTTAAAAAATGCATAAAACCACAAAAGAAGTGCAAGAGCCTGGACACCACTAGTAATTTGAGTACTTGTCGCTCTCTTTTGTGGCTTCAGTGCCAATTCTATGTGCGATTTAGAGTTTGTTCTTTCTTTTCGTTTTGCCATAATATATTTAACACAGAAGTAAATAACCTGATCCTGCATGATTTACGTTTTCAATGATTTTCTTTTCTTTTTGCTGTTTTTTTCCCCATTTTTTCTCTTCATTTTTGCGTTTCGTTAACCGGTTGGTTGTTTTGATGCCAAAACTAACAGAAATAGTTGAGCTTGATTTAACACATTGGTCGCCGAGCAATACAAGTTTGAATGCAACCCAACCAAGTGCATCGCATTCAATGGTCGGAGCATCAACGAATTCGGTTGCGTCGGCCGGAAGTGGCATTGGTTCGATACATTTAACCAATGTTCAACTTGAATACGCTCCAACGGCCTCACCAGAGCTTAGCCTAACCAATACTGGAAGTAGCGTATCGAATAATCAATCGACGCTGGGCATGGGAACAACAACCAAACGTGAACCATATCTACGGAATTGGTTTATGTCACAGTCGTCGGCATCATCGCATTCGGCGAACGCAATATCAAACATTCCATCGCATGCGAATACAGGCAATTCGGTATCGGCAACTGCATCACCAGCCGCATCATCATTGAACGCAATATCAACGGAATCAAGCGAAAGTAACTATCAAAAAATGAAACAATTCTCGTTACAGCAACTCCATACGGCCGATAACATTCAATTGCCAATCGATAATTCATCGTCCACATCGTCCGTACTGAGTTCACAGCATCACAGTTCAATAACAACAAACACTAATAGAAAAGCCACCACAAACGGTGAACAAAACGGCCATAATAGCAACATGAATAATAGCCATAGTCATTCAGCTGATGTCAGTGTCAGAGATGAACCGCAGAAGCAGTCAACATCACAGCCAAAACAACAAAAATCTTCCCGCCGCACAACTTCACTCCTTAACCTCTTCATGTCCAATTCTCAGGGTAATAACAACTAAGCAAACCAAATCACAATGAACAAATCCTATTTATTACTCATCTGAAGCGACGACAAAAACATGAATCGATAGACTTAGAACAACGCAATGACAAATGTTTCTCACTTTTTTCTTTGGGTTTAACCCCATCAAGAGCGTCCAGTTTTAGCAATTCAATGTAGTTGATAAAAAGTGAACATTTCTCTAGGCATCTTCGAAATCTTTTCAAATTCTTCTTTTTCTACTTCTTTTATTTTGATTTTTATTCGTTTTCTTTTTCTCGCATTTATTTTCGTTAAACAACAAAAGTCACTGAACAAAATAACCTCAGAAAGTCATTATTATCGTACAGAAATTTTCAACTAGAATTAATCATGCTATTTCGATATGAAATTTTAGCTTTAGACTAGTGCTATGTGTGCCTGAAATCCCGGTAGAAATCGCTTGCTTGCTTCACAGTAATCATAAGCAAGAATTTTTGTGTGTTGGCACTGTTCAATTTGTCGTTTTGGTGTTTAACAACCAAATTTATGTTCAATCGACAATAATTTTTTTCGTTTTTCTTCACGCGCAATATTTTCTGTTAAATTTCACCTCATTGAAAGCATCCAATAATTAATAGTTATGATTAACCATTGCTGAAGGACGACATCACATTGATTCAATTAATTATGTGTGTTTGTAAAATTAACTCGCTTTCACGTTCAGAAAAAAAATCATTTTCTGTTTTTTTTGCTTTCTGCCATGGTGTAACCGAACATAAAATCGTTTATATTGCTACTAATTTATGACTCATTCGATTCGATATATAGACTTTTAATTTAGATTAATCATTGGCATTAAAAGAAATTCCAACAAAAAAAATTCCAAAATTCGAAAGAAGAAAAATTCCAATGTTCTATATGTGTGTGTGTTGCAGGAAGTCGTGATAGTCGCGATAGTCGTGAGAGTCGTGGTAGCCGTGATTCAAATTCGATTGAAGTTCTATCAGCTCCATCAAGCCCAAGCGAACAACAAGACACTCAAAATCAATCGAGTTCGCAAATCGGACGGAATCCACTCAGAAGTTCAAAATGTATGCATTTCATCAATTCGTTTAAACAAACCAAAAACCAAAATCATCTTTCACTAACACCGATACCTGCTAAAAAGACAAAATCACCAAAAAAAAACGTCTTAAACGCAAAACAATTCTGTCTAATCATTTCACCGAAGTAACATTTGTAGTGTTTTCTATATGTTTGCCTTGGCTTTCCATTTTTGTATTTTGATTTTTTTTCGATCTCTTTTCAGTCGGGAAAAAATTTATTCAAAGTGTCAAAAAAACAACAACAACATTTTTATTTTCGAATTGTTTTTTTTAGCAGAACATTTAGATGAAATCGTTTTCATAGTATTTGCATGCTCTATTTCATTTCTTTTAATTGCTTGTTTCTTCTTTAGAAATAGACCAAAAAATCCATCTAAAATCACATCAAACTTCAAGGTTTTTTTTCTGTTGTGTTTACAAAATTTTCATTTTTCGATTATTCTAATTTATCGAAATCAATTCGAGCCCGCCTTTATCTCGTTTAATTTGTGTTTGCCTGAACAAAAATTTGTTTTTTTTTCTTATTTTTTTCGTTGTCATCAGAGATTGGATAAATTGTGTTGGCGGGAAGTATTTTTGTTTGTTATGTTGACTTTTTTTTTTTATTATTTTCAACCCATTTTTTTTGCGTATGCTTTTTTTTATATATTTTAATTAAATTAAAAAAAAATAATTTTTCTTTTTCATATTCATTTTAAAGCACTGAATATGCACAACAGCTTTTATCATGCAATTCACCAAAAAAAACAGTGAAATTCCTGTAGTGTTGTAGGAAGTGAGATTTTTCTGTGAGTTTTTCCGCTCGAGCTAAATTCCCACCGCATATTTATCATACTGCATATGTATTCCATGCACGACACTCATTTCATTTCGAATGAGTACAATTTTGGCAAAATCATTTTGCAATCACATTAGCTCCCCACCTCACAGTACAAGTGAAGCGGTTTTTTTTTAAATTCATTTCAACCGATATAAATTTTTATTTCAAATGTATTTGTTCCTGATTTTCTTTTGGTTATTGAATTGCCTTTGAAACGAAGTATCAAATTACTTTTTATCAACTAGATTCTCTCTAGACAGTTTTGAAGCTTTACGAAAATAGACAATATGAAAAAGAAAATATTTTTACCAACGGCGAAGAACTACTAGCTTTAGTTTAGTTTGTGGTTGGATTGGTATTGTTTTATTTTTTCTAAAAACTAAAGTTTTCGGCCGATTTCTTGGCTTAGCAGTTTTTTTTTTGTTGCTCTAGTAGATCAATTTGTTTTATTACGAACGAATTGAAAAAAAAAATACCATATCTCTTCCCTTGTATGTGAAGTTTCAGCAATTTTGCGAAGCGGTCGAAATAAGACAAAATCAAAGAAGTCGAAGAAGAAAAAAGACTCAGCAAATGATGACACCATCAGTGGAGTAAGCGGAGTAGCAGATACGAGCAGTGCTGTTGTGTGAGTGAAATTATTTTTGATGTTACTTGTAATTCACAAAATGATTTAAACAAAATTTATCATCTCTTTGAAGCAGTGAGGAGAAAGAGGACGTAAATCAAAGTGTGGAGTCGACACCGCATACGACGCCGATTCCAACGAATACAACAGCTCCTCCACCACAGACTCCAAACAGCGAACAGCAGCCAGAAGTCGATGAAGATGGTTATTGCATTCAGCCGAAAGATCCTCTGTGGAATGTTCAATGGCCAAAAAAAGGTAAGATGAATTTTCAAATTTAATCTCAATGTAGAAAATTTCTACTAGGAATTAAATCTTTGGAAATAAATTGACAAAAGTATGCAATAATCGATCTTTCGTTTGTGTTTAGATTCTGATTCGGATAGTGATTCCGACAACGATGAACGAGATCGAAAGATACATGTCGAAATAAAACCGTTGAACAATGGATCGGCTCCAATATCAGCGTCGGTCGACGAACTTCGAGCAACGGTGGAGAGTTTTACGTTATCACCACTTGGTGGTGCCTTATCGGTATGATCCCAAGCTATTGATGTCAATTTACCTTTAACCATCAAATGAACAGGAGAAGTTTTTGCTCGCAAAAATTGAATCTGTTTTTTCTTTTGCATTTTTTTGCACTAAGTTTTTATCTAACATAAACTGGATCTGGCTTAAAATTGGTTTGGTATTGGTGATTCATTTAGTTTTTTTTTCATCAAAAAAGGAGATAAAATGACTTATCCACCATTTTTTGCACGATATTTTTATTTGCGATTGTCATTGTGCACACATACACACATTATTATCCATTCGCACCATATTTCTTGTTTTCATCCATGTAGATATTTTGGCATTTTTTCAATTGTTGATCATTTTGTTTTTTCCATTTCAAAATTGTGTTAATGTTTTGTATGTTTTCTTTTCCCCGTCATCCATTGTCGTTCGCCTCAAAACACATTTTATTCCATCGAATGCGTTCATCGTCATCTTCTTGCATCGTCACACACACGTATACACCACAACGGTGTGTGTTCTGTCGTAAAGGGTCGACGAGATTCAAATGTTGATACCAATACCATGCTTATGAAACGCTCGCAATCTGTGTCACAACAAATTGGCGATAAGCCAAGTAATGATTTGCTTGGTCTCAATTTATTTCAGCATCACCAAAGCCCCGGCCAATCAAACTCATCAACGCCAACGGCTTCACACCCATATGCTCCGTTACAAAGTCCAACGCTGTCTGTATCGAATACATCGAGGTTCGAATTGGCTTCTCTTTAACTGCACTAGATATTAAAATTGAAAATATGATATTTATTTTCCTCTCTGTCATTTAAAAAAGGTACACGGATCTAGGCGATATATTCTCAGAAATTGGTGATATAAGTGTATCAGCGCCGCCTTCGGCCACATCGAGTAAATTGAATAGTCGACAAATTCCAACACCAACATCGGCAGGTAGCATCGCAATACCACGGCCTCCATCTCGTCGATCGGAAGCAACCGGACGAGGTCGCGTCAGTCCATCAAGCATATCGCGCGCAGACAGTGTGGGTAGCTTAGAATTCCGAACGGCTAGCATTGGCTTCGGATCATCACGAGGACCATCGCCATTGACAATTGGCATCACGGACACAATTCCATTAGCAGTTGCATTTCATGAAATTGTTCATGCATTTTTCAAGTTAGTTTTGGGTCGAAATTGATTTGTTTACTTGATGTGATGTTCACATGGTGAACTGGTTTTGATTTGATTGATTTTTTTATGGTTTTCAATTTTTTATTTTGCAGAGGAAGTGACGAAGCGCGTTGTCAGGTTAAAATGTCAGGCGACATGATGCTATCATTTCCGGCCGGAATTGTTAATGTATTAGCAAACAATCCGAATCCAGCTCAATTAGGCTTCCGTATCAAGAATATGCAGAATCTCGAAAATTTATCGCCGAACAAACAATTGGTAGCAATGTAAGTATTGAATTTTAACGAACCCAAACACGCATCCATCATGAAACTTTTTCAATAATTATGAATCGCTCGTATCATTCCCAGTGACAAACTCCAATCGACGAGTTTTAGCACGTTGCTCGAGTTCAATATGCCCGCATTAACTGCCTTGTTGCGACGCCAATCGGAACAGAATCCGACCGCTTCCTATTTCAATGTTGACATTTTAAAATACCAAATCAAAGCAAAAATGGGAGCACAATCATGTCCGTTCCAATTGGTTTCGTATTGGAAATGCGAACCATCGCACACAGACATCAAAATCGATTACAAGTACAATAATCATGCGATGGCAGCATCATCGCCATTGCTAAATGTTGCCTTATCCGTTCCGGTTGATGGGGGCGTTAAAAATGTACAATCCAAACCGCATTCGGCTTGGTTGGGCGAATCAAATCGTTTGATGTGGAATTTCACAGACATTTCCCAACACTCCGATAACAATGGGGTGGGTACACTTCGAGCTCGATTGGATGTTTCCAACGGTCCGTCAAATCCATCTCTGATTAGTACACAATTCAATTGCGAGGGAACCACTCTATCTGGAATTGAGTTTGAGCTTGTGGGCAGCGGCTATCGACTGTCTTTAGTTAAACGACGCTTTGTTTCTGGTAAGATTTCTGTCACCTGAAAATGCCCGAATAGAGTTGAAATGTTGGTTCTTTTTTGCAGGAAAATATATATGCGAAGGAGATGGAATTCGAAGTATTAAAACGCCAACACCGCCAAATGCAAACTCACCGAGCCCCTTCAGTCGACCTTCATAAGAAATAGCATTTGAATAAGAATCGTGCCGCTAGATCACGATCGCATTTTCCCGCATCGAGCATTCGACGCTGTAATTTCTACAAGTTCATGGCAAAAACTGGTTTTGGCTTTAGTGCTCTGCTAAGTGTAAAGATGTGTTAATTATATGAATAATATTTAAGCATACGTTTTGCCGCCCAAGTATGCGTCCTTTGCATTCAAAACGTAACGTATCAAAAAACGATTTGAATTTATTTTTTATTTTTTAAAAATTCGAAATTGAGAATATGTTTAATTTTGTTGAAATCTGTTTGTCTTTTTTGTTTTGCTTTCTCCTCTCTAACTCATTGAAATCGTTATCTGTAGTTGGAAAAGGCACGTTAAAGTCTATATATATATATATAAAGAAATAGAGAGCAACAAATAAATTAAGAAGAAAAAACAAAAAACAAATCACATTCAATTAACATAACGAATCCTTCTAATTTTGGCATTTACGTATTATTATCATTAAGTTAAACTGTACAATTCTAATCTTTTTATTGCAAATGAAGAAAAACACACACACACACACATTTATAAGAAGATACTAAAAATTATTTGTGTAGTAGAAACAATTAAAGAGATATACAAAATAACGGGAAAATTGTGTTCAATTTAATTCGCATTTTGCATGAAGTAATTCATATGATTTGACAAAAGCCCATTCTACACTGGAAAATGAAATCGGACCAGTTTTTCTGCGACTGGAATGTTTTAACACTTTTGACATTTTGAGGTTAGGTTTGTGTTGTAAACAAATCATTTCGGTTGTTCTTCGGTTTTGCACCCAAAATAACTCTTTAAATAAAATCAAATATTTTGCAGAATTTTAAGAGATCAAAAATGTGTCCAGTTGCTACACAAAAACCGTTCGCCCATTCAGAGGCATACAATATCGATGGCGTTCACACCGAAATTGTTTTACACAAATTCACCAATCGATATTTGTTGATCATCTCACAGTACGAAAAGTTGAACAATGTTTTTGTTGTCTGCAATGAGGCTGCAGTTAGTGGGGTCATCAGAAATCGATCATTAGATATAAAACATCAATTCGGAATGACAACTGACGAGATTGAATGCGGCATCCGATTTTTGTTAACAAATATACAGCTACCCAACTTTGATAAAGACATGGAAATGGTCGTTTGTCTTGGCTTGAAAGAATACAACGGGAAGATACTCAGGCAAATCACGGGCGTTCTGAATCGCCTCGGGCAATCAAGTTAGGTAAGTAGATCAAAAGTCTCGAACATTTAAATGGCTTTATTTTTTTTGCTAACAAGTTCATGCTTGCAGATGGGGAAGTACAAAGATGCGGTTCAAGGTCAATGTAATTTGGCGCTCGCTTCACACACAACAACAAACTCATTGTCATCGTGTGCGGTTCAAGACAAAAAATATGTTAATCTCTTCTTAAGCTACGTCTTTGTTCAATCCAATTTCAATTATGAATGCTAATAAATGCAAAAAATGTGCTTCCTATCGAGGCGTTGGTTTCATTTTTTTCTGTTTATTTCTTCTTGTGCCATGCTTTACTTCCGAAATGTGGTGAATGGCCAATGCAGACACATATAAAACATAATGACATGTAAAATTATGCGTTGGATCAAAGCGATGGACTGCTCCAATAACAGTTGTGTCATTGTCTAGCGCGTGGTTAAGACACACCTCACTAATCAATCAAGTTTTCTTTAAATCGTAGTTTTGAATAGTTCTTCTCGATGGATCATAATGCGAATAAACCACTGGCGAATTGGATATAGTATAAATAGCGTATGCTTATTTGCTTGATCATCAAATCCCATTTAGCTCTCGATTCAATCAAACATAATATTTTTTTGCCTTTTCTGTCTCAATCAGAACAAAAATGTTTAAAGTGAGTTTGATTTATATACGATTTCAATAAACAGAGGATAAAATTGATGAACTTTTTTCTTTACATAGTGGAGAATTCTCTTCGTCTTGCTTCTAACGGTTGCGGTCGCATTTTCGCAAAGAAGATTTTTGGGAAGAAGACGCTTTAGTAAGTTTGCAAATGATAAAAATGAAAATAATAATTAAATTCAAACTAAATAATTTACTTTCATATTAGGAGGCCACGGTTATCCTGGGTTTGTACCAGTTGCACCTGCATTCGTACCAATTGCACCTGCATATGCATTTGGGCCAGGATTCTATGGTTAAGATGAATTAAACTGTACATAATTACCGCTAAGCCATATCATATTATTTATAATGCAATAAATTACATTAAAAAGCGAAATAAGAAATTGAATATTCACGTGGCCTGTTCAATTTGATACTACGAAAGTTTAAGTTTGTAGTGACGATCTCATTGGCCGTAGTTTTATCATGAGACAAAATTGATGGGCACCTCCATTTCGATGGAGGTTTTCGTTTCTGAAAAAAATGCAGCCAAATGCCATACAAAAACGGTTTTTGTTTAATTGTTTCTTGCATTGAACACAATTGTCATTATCAAGTATGTACAAAATGTGACTTTATTGATAAAAGTTGTTTATTCAACGGCAGCTTTGTTAACCTAGATATGGACTTAAACCATATCCTCCATACCGCGGGCCACCATAGAATTCACGATGACCATAACCTGGAACATATTATATTTAAGACGAAAAAAATGTTTTCATTGAATTGAGTCTTTGTGACAAACAAATTTAAAATGACAATTTACCATATCCGGGGAATCCTCTGTGAAAACTACCACGGCCACCACCATAGAAACCAGGACCATAAGTGACTATTGCAAGAAAAAGTTATAAGTAACATTTGACAAAAACAAAGTTGATATTAATTGAGCCGTATTCCGTATACATACATTGTGGTTGTGCTTCTGGTTCAGCCACTGCAATGGCCATGCTCACGGCAATCAACGCCAACAAACACAAAACAATTAAGATCTGTAATGGAAATTTAATAGATATTTATTTGATTTTAATAAATTGACACATCGAAGTACTCACTTTTGCCATTTTTCTTTTATACTGGAAATAAAATCAGGGAAATTAAGCTGCTTTAAAATACACACTTGAAAATGTTCTGATATTATTGCTCGGTCCAGTGTAGTCTATTTATACATTTCACAAAGTGATACCAAATGAATAACAATGCAGACAATAACAATAAAATAACGAAGAAAAAAAATATCTGTCTGAAAAAAGTCTGGATTTTCGACCGACTAGACATAATGAATTAATCAAAACGGGAATAGATATATCCTAACACTTTTAACAATGACCCATTCAATTCAATATTGAATTCCAATTTCAATAGTTTGACGTAATTAAAATTCCAGTTTCTGTACGACGTTATAAAATCAAAATAGCTGTAAACAACTGGGAATGGACATTGTGAGACATTTCAGAAAGTTTTTTTTTACCTTTTTGGCGGTAAAGTGAAAATCTGGAACGATTCGGATTCATATAAATTTCATAAACGACCTTCAATGGAATCAATGCTTTAAATCTTTGTAAACACTATTAGAAACTTCGACTCACCGAATTTCGTTTCGTACATTAATTATAAGACATATATCACATACATCCAATTCATATTGCGCAGTTAAATTAAAAGGAACAATATTCAAGTGCTTATTTATAGACATCGCTATTTTAATAGCGAATCGGAACGTTCGATATAATAAAGTTCAATTTATATATTTCAATAATTCTACAAGATTGAGTAACTTCTAGAATAAAGTTTGAGTTCCGAATTTTTTAAAAAATAAAACGATGTTATAATATGGGTATAACTCACACAACTATGGTGCGAGAACTATGTTTGGAGATGTAGAAATCAATAAAGACAGAAAAATCACAAAATTGTCATCTACTTATCTTAGTTTATTATTATTATTTTTTTAAATTTATTGATTGTGGAGTTCATCATATTACATTAGCAGGTAGAAGTGATGATGGTGGCAGATTACACTTTAAAAAAGAAATCGGTTTGAAGTGTTGAAATGCTAATGCAACTCCTAGATAAAATTGGATTGGTAATACAATTTCTCCAGTACTTTGGTGTTTAGTAAACATTGTTCACTCGAGAATGTTCAGTAGAAACAAAATAAACCTGTAGATCTTCCGTTTTATGCACTGAGTAAATCGCTTTTCTGGTAAAACCTTTTGCTGCAGTCCTACTCAACCTTTAGTTCCTATCGACAACTTAACTTCGTACAACGCCCCAAGTGTATTTTGTATGAAAACTGGACTGTGATAAGAGATAACGCTTAATGTCTTCAGCAAAATTATAGTACTCGACCCGCTCTACAACTTTGCTGAAGACAAATATCACTTATCTTTTATCAGTTCCGTGAAAAATGGGAAACCGAATATTCGCGTATTCGCGGTTCTTCGGTTATTTCACAGAACTGATAAGAGATAAGCGATATCTATCTTCAGCAAAGTTGTAGAGGACCTTGAGTACTACAACTTTTACGAGGTCATCAAGTCGTTATCTCTTATCACAGTCCAGTTTTTATGAAAAAATACATTTGAGGCATTGTACGCCCCAAAGGACGTACGGCGCACATGGGTTGTGGGAGGTAATATCTCACACATGCTTACACATATGAACATGAAAATTAACTGGTGTGTAGCCAAGGGTTCAAGTTATCGAATGGTAAACTCTACAGTCTACACTCATGGTGATTCTTTTGGTTTCAAATAACTTACTTTTATTTGTAATTAAAAATCGCCTCAGTCTCTGTACGCCCCAAGGACGGACTAAAAGTTAATATTGATGGAGTCGTCGATTTCTTTTTCGAGATGAAAAATAATAATAATTATCAAACCCCCAAAAAATGATTGAACAAATGGATAGAATCGAAAATGGGAAATAGCTGTTTTTTTCGTGTTCCCAATTTCATTCAGACGATGCGAAGTAAGCTTAATCCTGTTTCATGTGTTGAGAATGAAATAAGGCAGAAACGACTCAATTTATTTATAGTGTAAAAGAACCGAAAAAAACGTGTTGCGAAAAAAACGAAATACGGTTTTTTTTTACCACAGATGCTATAATTTCGAACTGGATACTTTTTCATCGATGATCATCAATGGTGGGCCTGTCCGCAAAATTCTAAACTATGCATGTCATTGTAAATAAAATATGATGGCAGAAAAAAACAAGACCGTAGAGTGTCGCTTCGCTCCACTCTGCGTTCTTAAGATTTTAGTTACTTATTCTATTTTGTTGTTTCACAACAAACTACTTTTTTGCGCACTACATTAAATGTATTCTGTAGTGTAGTGGCAACACTGGTTGCCGACAACATGAGAAATGTCAC